CTTCCTCAAGTCCAATGGTCTCAGAAAAGCCAGTGAAAGAAGAATAAGAAAGAACAAAACGAAGAAATAAACCCAAATACATAAATGTTCTACAGTAAAAAAAAAAAAAAATGTATAATAATAATAACAACAATGGCAAGGAAACCACCCACGGCCTCAGAAGACATTGCCCTGTGAATCTTGCCCACGACAGCAAGCATCACTACGGCCATAGAGATCAATAGTAAGGGAACAATGGAAGGCACTGAGAAGTCTTCAGCCCAAGGACCCCTCGTAGTATCCGAATAAATGGAACTTGGCAAAATGAACCCAAGGCAATAGAGAAGCGGTTCAAGGGGAAGCTCGCCTTGATAGCAGATGTTCCTAATGATCCTGAGGCGAGCGAAGGGGGATGGAAATTGAAGATGACCAGCGGGCGAGGGGAACGTGGATATAAAAGCGGTCATCTGGAGTGCCGTCGGACACAGATTCGTAAAAACAACGGCAGTCCTGAGGTAAACCGATCAAGGAGAATGGGAAGAATAAACGCGATGAAAATAGCCTACGACACGTTCAAGAAGGCCGGCGAGAGGACACAGGCGGTCAAAACACAACCCACAAGGACCTCCATAAAGATCCTTCCCCCCCATGCTAGCGTATCTGCATCACCTGGTTTACGATACCATAAAGCTCCGGGGGAAATGGCACCATCTCTGACGAGGCACCAGATTTAGGGCCGTCTAATTATTGGCGAGATCAGCCTATCTCGCGAGCTGAGGAGGCGCCGCGACAGTCGTCTTATTTACGGCCTTCTTATCGTCGTTCGAGAGATGGAGATGTAAGTCCACTGGAGATAAAACCCGGGGACCCTTTTAGCTCTCTTCCTTTCCCTCAGCTTTTTTTGTCTCTACCCTTCTTCCTCTTCCTCCTTTCACTCTCTTCTTTCTCCTTCCCTCTCCTCATCACCTCTGCTTTCTCTTCTACATTTCACTCTCTCCTATCTTCTTTCTCCTTCCCTCTCCTCATCACCTCTGCTTTCTCTTCTACATTTCACTCTCTCCTATCTTCTTTCTCCTTCCCTCTCCTCATCACCTCTGCTTTCTCTTCCTCCTTTCACTCTCTCCTATCTTCTTTCTCCTTCCCTCTCCTCATCACCTCTGCATCCTCTTCTACATTTCCCTCTCTCCCCATATTCTCCTTTCCTTTCACATTTTCTCTCTAATCCTTTCCACCGCTCCCTTCCTCTTTCCTTAATCCACTTCCCCTTCCCCCCCTCTCCTCCTTCCCTCCCCACCCCCCTTCCTTATCAAACCACGCCCCCTTTTTAGCGTATGTTAGAAGGGCGTGGCACTTGTGGCACTGTGACAGGAAGGGCTCTGGCGGAGAGGCCGACGGACATGAGGGTCAAGACACACTCGGGTCGAGTCATGAAACACGGGATTATGAGGCAGCGGGACGGAAGGGGGGGAGGCGAGAGCTGGATGGGGGAGGAGAGGAAATAAAAGTGTGGATGGGATATAAGGTGAGAGAAAGTAGGAGGAAGGATAGAGAGAAAGGGAGGATGATGTAGATAGTAATATACATATATATATATATGTATATATATATATTATATATATATATATATATATATATAATATATATATATATATATATGTATATATATATATATATATATATATATATAGATAGATAGATAGATAGATAGATAGATAGATAGATAGATAGATAGATAGATAGATAGATAGATAGATAGATAGATAGATAGATAGATAGATAGATAGATAGATAGATAGATAGATAGATAGATAGATAGATAGATAGATAGATAGATAGATAGATAGATAGATAGATAGATAGATAGATAGATAGATAGATAGATAGATAGATAGATAGATAGATAGATAGATAGATAGATAGATAGATAGATAGATAGATAGATAGATAGATAGATAGATAGATAGATAGATAGATAGATAGATAGATAGATAGATAGATAGATAGATAGATAGATAGATAGATAGATAGATAGATAGATAGATAGATAGATAGATAGATAGATAGATAGATAGATAGATAGATAGATAGATAGATAGATAGATAGATAGATAGATAGATAGATAGATAGATAGATAGATAGATAGATAGATAGATAGATAGATAGATAGATAGATAGATAGATAGATAGATAGATAGATAGATAGATAGATAGATAGATAGATAGATAGATAGATAGATAGATAGATAGATAGATAGATAGATAGATAGATAGATAGATAGATAGATAGATAGATAGATAGATAGATAGATAGATAGATAGATAGATAGATAGATAGATAGATAGATAGATAGATAGATAGATAGATAGATAGATAGATAGATAGATAGATAGATAGATAGATAGATAGATAGATAGATAGATAGATAGATAGATAGATAGATAGATAGATAGATAGATAGATAGATAGATAGATAGATAGATAGATAGATAGATAGATAGATAGATAGATAGATAGATAGATAGATAGATAGATAGATAGATAGATAGATAGATAGATAGATAGATAGATAGATAGATAGATAGATAGATAGATAGATAGATAGATAGATAGATAGATAGATAGATAGATAGATAGATAGATAGATAGATAGATATATATATAGATAGATAGATAGATAGATAGAGAGAGAGAAGCGAAAACAATAAATGAAGCAACGAAAAGACACCAAAGAAGATAAAAGAGAGCACAGAGGGTAGAGAGAAAGACGAGAAGAAGAACACGAAAGGATAAAGAAAGAGAGGAAAATGGGAAGGAAGAGGAAAGGAGGAGAAGAGGAGACCGAAGATCTTTTGACTCCATTAGGAGGAAGGGGCGAGGGGGGAGGAGGAGGAGGAGGGAGCGTTGCCATATTTTCGTGCGTGAGTTTGTGTGTTTGTTTGTGTTTAGTTGTGTATACGTATGTATGTGTGTGTGCTTAATCCAATGCCGACGGGCATGACATGTACGTACATACCATGCCCACTGTGAGTTTGCTTGTTTATTTGTTTTTTTACACATAGATGGTTACACTTGTTCTAAGCTACCACTGAGCCAATTACGAGTACAGCCTGTCTCGCCCGTTCACCCTTTTCTTTGATTTACGAAAATATTTTACGTTATCTTATTCTGATGCTACTAATGTTTATAACATTATAGTAATTATAATGTTTATAATAAAAATAACGCCATCGATATTCATAGTACTAGTAAAAAATACACTTTTCTCGCCAATTCAAGGAAAGGTGAAATCAGGTAAGGCTAAGCACTAGCAGAGCCATCTATGTGTAGAAACATTTCACAAAAAATATAAAAAATGATCACGACATTTTCCTCATTTTTTATTCATTTTCCCCGGCGGCATTGGGTTAAATGTGTTTCCATGTACACGTAAGCGATATGCAGTCAGGTGTGTTAACAAATACAATTCGATACATTACACGTATATGCAAATGAGCATAATATAGACTCAGAAGGTGAAGCCTCTACGCAAGCACTATCTACGCACCCCCTGAGACTGTCGCATCTATTGCTCAGAAAAGAACTATCTACATCGATATTCAAGAAGCGGAAAACGAAGTAAAAATAAAAATAAACCAAGAAAAAGAAAATTAAAAAGCTGTGATTAGCTACAAAATCTACTAAAAAATGACAACGTTGCCGAGATGAATACACGTGCATAAATTAAACAGAATTATAACAGGTTACGCAATTAAATACAAAAGCTTAAATATTTGCTACTGAATTTCAGCATCAAAGGAATGTAAAAGCTAAATTGCTCAGCGCAAAAATGTCAAAGAAATGCGTTACAGTTAAGTTATTTTATACAAATGGAAGTTAATCATTAATTAAAATAAAAAATACCAGAAAATAAGAAAAGGAAATGTATATCATATATCAATGAATAAATTTAACAGAAAAGAAACTATAAATATCGCAAAATAAATCCTAAGTAACTGAAAGGACTTAATAATTTTACACAATTTAGATTAAAGAACGTACATAATTGCTACTAAAATACAAAATATGTATCATAAAGAATCTACAAGAAAGCGAAATAAAAAAAAAAACAACTAAACACATGAACTCTAAAATAACATAAAGCTTAAATATTCGAGTAATTACAAATTAAATAAATCTTTACGGGCTATCGACCTAAAACAAATTAAAGCTTACTTTAATCTGAAATACAAAATGAAAATTAAAAAAAAACAATATAAATACATCCCATTCCATTAATGCTCTACTGCTAAAGCTCAGATCCTTATAAGAAAAAAAAAACAACTAAAAATTAAACCAAAGAAAAAACGTAAAATAATATCAACACAGACCATTACTTACTTACAACTACGACACAACTGAAACTAAAATACAAAGCCAATATATCTACACAAGCCATCTACCACAAGAAACTGAAGGAAGAAAGAAGTTGTGATAATAGATATATCTTACACAAATCTCAAGCTTAATTCACGAGATGAAGAACAAAAGAACAACAGGAATCTTACCTCGTTCATGCCCATAGGATCAACCACCTGGACGGTGTTGTCGGGAGGAACTTTCCAGTCGTTCTGCTCCATGCTGTTGGTCATCATCTTGCACCTGCGGAAACAACGGGCGTGGTGACGTCATCTCCTAAGGCGGATGTGAACGAAAAAAAAAAAACTAAAAATTAAACCAAAGAAAAAACGTAAAATAATATCAACACAGACCATTACTTACTTACAACTACGACACAACTGAAACTAAAATACAAAGCCAATACATCTACACAAGCCATCTACCACAAGAAACTGAAGGAAGAAAGAAGTTGTGATAATAGATATATCTTACACAAATCTCAAGCTTAATTCACGAGATGAAGAACAAAAGAACAACAGGAATCTTACCTCGTTCATGCCCATAGGATCAACCACCTGGACGGTGTTGTCGGGAGGAACTTTCCAGTCGTTCTGCTCCATGCTGTTGGTCATCATCTTGCAC